AAGGTGGTGGGGTCGGGTGGGGTCTGCTCAGGGGTGCGCGGGGTCACTGCCACCGCCACCGGGTCCTTCTGCAGCAGGTCAGCATCAAAGGCCACCCCACGGAAGAAGGGGTGCGCCTGGAAGTGGTGGAGGTACAGGGGGTTGTGGCACAGCAGCTGGGGACAGAGGGAGGACAGTGAGTGGTGGGGACCCTGGCATCCAGCCCAGGAGGCCAGCAGGGACCACAAAATCCGGGGAAGAGGGTTACCTCGGCGATCAGCCGGGCCAGCGCAGAGCTGAACGAAGGCGGGCTCTCGTAGCTGCTCTGCTTGACGCGCTCCAGCATGGCCACATGGTCCCCCGCCGGCAGGGAGTGGATTTAGGGGCTCCAAGGGACACTCCTCTCCCCCCCTGCCCTGTGGTCCTCACCTCGCCACTGGCCAGGGCAAAGAGCAGGACTCCCAGGGACCACCAGTCAGCTGTGTGGCTGTAGGGCCCCCCACTCAGCACCTCCGGGGCTGTGGGGATGAGCAGGTGAGCAGCTGGGGGGGCTGTGCCCCTCACTGCAGCCCCCTGCTGCCCCCTTACCCATGTACTGCAGGGTGCCGCAGATGGTGTGGGCTCGCTCACCCCACCGCAAGTGCCGGGAGAGCCCAAAGTCGGTGAGTTTGAGGTGTCCTGTGGGGAGAGACACTGCGTGGGGGCACCATGGATGGAGTGTCCCCATGGACAGGGCATCCCCATGGATGGGATGTCCCCATGCCAGTGTCACCAGACTCTTACCTCTCTCATCCAGGAGGATGTTCTCCATCTGAAATGAGACAGGTGCTGGGGTGGCCTCTCCATGCCAAGGGGTTCGGAGACCCCCCCAACCCCATCCTCCAGCCCCCCTGGCTCCGCTGCCACCCACCTTCACGTCTCTGTGCACGATGCCCAGGTCATGAAGATACACTGGGGAGAAGACAGAGGCGTCAGAGCAGTGGGTCCGCTCCTGGCACAGTGCCCACTCCCATCCCCATGGCACCTGGCAGGCAGCTGCCCAACCCGGGGGATGGCTGACCCTGCCTGCTGGTCCCCAGCAGTGGGGATGGTGGTGGCTGTCCCCAGTATGGCAGGCCACTCACCCAGCACCAGCACCAGCGAACAGGCGGACGGTGGCCTCAGTGAAGCGCCCGGCGGCGCGCCACAGCGCGTGCAGGTCTCCGGTGCTGCAGTAGGTGCACACTGCCAGGACGGGCGACGTGCCTTACCGACGGGATGCCCCGTGGGGTCGGGCTGTGCTGGCACAAGGGGCACGGGCACCAGGGTGGCATGGGCGCAGGGGTCCAAGTGGGTCACTGGGGCCATGCACCAAGGTGACATGGGCACCAGGGCCGTGCACCGAGGTGATGCAAGCACTAGGGTCATATGGGCAGCAAGGTGACACAAGCACCAGGACTACACTGGCACCAAGGTGGCACAAGCATCAACAGAGGCACCAGCACCAGGCACTAAGGTGACATGGGCATGACTAAGGCAGCAGGGGAGCATGCGAGTACCAGGGTCATGTACCACAGTGACACAGGCACCAGAGCCATGTGGGCACTGGGAACATGCAAGCACCATGACCACATCAGCTCCAAGGTGGCACAGGCACTGTGGCCAACAGGTACCAAAGTGACACGGTCCCCGAGGTCACACAGACACTGGGAACACACAAGCTACATGGACACCGAGGTGGCATGGGCCATCAAAGTCAGGCAGGCAGTGGGGCTGAGGCACCTCGTTCACCCCCACACTAGTCCCTGCCCCGCTGTGGCTCATCTCCATCCCTGAAAAAAAGGGCGCCCGCAGCCAAGCGCCTGGAACCCCGCGGGGCAGCGGGCAGCACGGGGGGAGCGTGCGCGTGTGCGGGGACACGTGTGCAGGCGGCAGGGACACGTGCACAGGCAAGGGGGGGCCAGGGCGAGCCCGCGGGCAGATGGTCACTCACTGATGAAGAGGTGGCG